GAGGGCTGGGGACAGGAAAGGGAAGAGGTGCCTTTCTCGGACTAAAGAGCTTGAGGCAGGGGTCTGCGGGGCTGGGGCTCAGACCTCGGGGGGCATCAGACCAGCACGGGGCTGTAGCCAAGCAGGTATCTTACAGATGCGCCTCTGAGGGGGGTGGGAGGTTGGCTTGGGAGTGCCCCAAAAGCTGGGGGCTGGAGCCATAGCTGTCCAGTGCTGCTGGAACAGTGCCACCTAGAGCTGAGAACACAGGGAACCCCGTCTCCCCATCTCCTGCCTTCCAGTCTCCCTCCAGTGCCCTCTGTTGACAGAGCCGAACAGGAAGCCAGCTGGCAAGGAAGTGCAGACGAATATAGTTCACAAGCTCCCAGGCCCCGGAGCCCAGTGCAGAAGACAGGGCTGGGCCACAAAAGGCAAATGGAGACCTTTCCGTTCAATGGCACCTTCGAGGACATCATCTGTCACTGTCCCGCCCCAGAGGACATCCCCTTGTGGGGTGGTGGCTCTGCCAGAAGACCCCTAATGCCCCTAGTGGTCTACCCCATGCATACTGGCCCCTCATGGAGAGCTGTAGCCTCGGGTCGCTCATGGAGACCCTCCCGCAGACACTGTGCCTTAGGGTGCTGGCACTGCAGGTGTGACTTTACCTGTCCGAAGCCCTCACACGTGGCTGTGGCGTTTCATCCATAAAGCCTTCGGAAGGTGTAAGTGTTTCCTAAAAGCGACTTTGCAGAGTGACCTCAGAGAGCCGAGGGGCCGTTTGTTCCCATGGGAAAAAGGTGTGAAAATGAGCGTTCTAACCTCAGGGGCAAGGGGTGGCAATCTTATCTAAAAACCAAAGCCCTCTACACCCACGTTCTGGTCGGGAGGACTGTCCGACTCTGCTTCGAAAGGTTCTTTTGCGAGTCAGGTGCGTTGCCTGGATGTGCGAGCCGGGGCCCGTCTGCTCCCGAGGGACTGTGTCACATGCTCTTTTGCACCTCCCGTGGCTGTCCGCTTGCCTCCTGACCAGCACCGAGAGGGCGAGTCGGGTCAGCAGCCTGGGTCACGTGGCCGGGACACCCTCGCTGCAGGCGGTGGCGCCCCATCTCAGTCTGCATGAGCAACAGCCGTAGCTGATGACCAGTCCAGCCAAGCTTACTAGAAGCCAAGTGCTCTGCCGGGGGCCGACTCCCGGGGTGTCTGTGCGCCTGCCCGCACCCCGTGAGGCAGGACTGGTACTCCCCCGCTTCACTGATGCGTCAGCTGGGCTGAGAGAGGGCAGGCGATGACCCCGGGGCGGGCACGTTAATTGGGGAGCCAGGGTTTGGATCCAGGGGTTCTGTCTCTACAGCGTGTGCTTCACCTCTGGATGACCTGGCAGCTGCACCATCATCACCGCCATCATAAGGAAGGTGCCACTTATTGAAGAATCATGATGCCCCAGGGGACGCCCTGAGTACGCAGGAAGTGTCTCACTTAAGCAGACGGTCACTTAAGGCTTGAAGGGGACTGTGGCTTGTTCTACATCCCCCTGGCTGGCTCGCGGTCGAGCCAGGCCCGCCCTCTGGTCTGTAGGAAGTAGGGTCATTCAGGGGTGGCTTCTGGCTGTTGGGACTCTGTGTGATCTATGCCTCGTTTTCCCCTAGTGAATACCAAATTACTGTTTTTAAACTAAAGGAATATCTATGTCACATAGAACATGACAGTTCATAACTGAGGTTTTTTTTTAGCCTGCCAAGAGCAAAGCTAGTAACTGCAGTAACAATTTATGTATTTGCTCAGTATTTTCAATAGTCCCTAAACTGTTAGAATAAATAATAATTTGAATATTCTAACAGTCCATTTAGAAAGTCCTTTGTTCCTTTTTTGTCTTCCTCCTCTCGTTCCAGAAAGGATTTGGGGTATCTTATGTACACACAGAGACTTTTTTTTACTGGATAATTGGGCCAAAGGGAAAATAACCTCAGAAAACTACTACAAAGCCAGAGATTGAAAATCTACCTAGTCAGCACCAACGCCAGCAACGTGCTGGCAGGAAAAACTGCTGGGTTGGAATGGAGGGTGACCCCTGGTGTCTGTGGCGACAGGAGCTGCCTGGGCCCTCAGAGGCTAAGGTCTGCCCTCATCAGTGGGGCGAGGGCGCCTCTGGTGTCCCCAAAGCAGCAGGAGACAGCTCATTACTGAGCTGGAGGGATGCCTGCCCAGCCTGAACTTTGACCTCTCCGGTGAGATCTAAATCCAGCACCCGTGATATTCTGAAATTGGTGTTTTCCTTCATACTTTTTCAAGGTGCCTGTAATCTGTGATTATTGGTGTCGATGAAACTTCATCTGTTAGGGTATATTCATAAAGTTAATGGAACTCAAGGTAAAAACAAAAAGAATTCTGGTTCCGTCTTCCCTATAGGAAGAGAATAATTGTCAAAAGTGATGACGATGGCTGCTGGGAGCAGGAAGAGAGGACGCGGGCAAGCTTGACCCCCACCCGCCCCTCCAGCCTTTGTTTCCCTCCGCCACCCCCCACCCCGACAAACACCTGCATGGGAAGAACACAGGTCCTCAGTCTCTTACCTGCGATTCCCAAATCCAGGATTTTTGACTCAATTAGCAGCCAGGCCTGGCCTGCACTGACATGAGGCTGGCGAGTCTCTGTTTACGCCCCTCCCCCCCGTTCATTCCACCGCGGCGATAGTGGCGCCTTCGATGGTGGCATGCCACCCTGGACCTCCTCCAACGCAGCACGCACACCATACTGCCTTGCCAAATCTGCAAAATTCCGAGCTCCTGAAACCCATCGGCCCCACTAGGGGTTCGAAGCAAGGCTTGGGGACAGAACAGAGCACTAGGGTGTGTCTCGGAGTCACCAGCCAGCCTAGCGTGGCTCTGGTGTGACAGCCCCAGTCAGCGATGCTCAGTGAGGTGGGCGCCCGCAGGAGCCCGGCCCGGGGCGCCCTGCCTTGCGGGATAATCCCGGTACACCCGTGAAGGGCCCGGAGCCCACCTGCCCAGAGGGGGCGCTGTCGCCGACAGCCGCCCAGGGGGAGCGCAGCAGCAGCAAAGTCAAGGTCGTCACGCTCAACACAGAATCCTTTCCTGCGGAGTTTTCTGCACCCCACCCCCATCCTCGTGTTTAAGTCCAGAGGGCAGCGAGGAGCAGGTTGGCACGCGTGGCAGGGCAGGTGGGGAGAGCCGCAGCCGCGGTGGAGCTCTGGGGCCTGACTCCAGCTCCTCCCTGAGCAGTGGGGGGCCTGCCCCCGGTTCATCCTGGTGCGCATTCCGTAGGTGACCGATTAGTTCACACCGAGCACCTTCTACGCCAAGGACCTGGGGACAGTGAAAGGAACAAATGAGGCAGCCAGAGCGAAAACCCTTTCAAGCCCGCAGAGCACCTGGACCGCGTGCTTCCGGTGACCCGCAGCGACCTGCCTCCCCCCGGGGTCTGGGGGCGATGGGCCGCTTTTCTCAGCGGGCGCTCAGCTCTGCCATGCCCAAACTCGCGTCTCCCGGACAAATATTACTAATCTGCCCTTTTAGGCTGGAAGTACGGCTTTTTCCAGAGGAAGCCCTGACAATATGTGACAGGTCGTGAAACCAGGTACTGAGCAGCCATCGTGGGGAGAATCTGTAGATGAGAACGCGCGTCGGCCACTCAGAGGTGGCTCATAAATACTGACTTTGAAGAGACTGGCGGGGCCGTTCGGCTTCGTGTTTTTCTCAAACGTAATGATATTTTAGATAAATTAATACTTGTTCACTGTGTAAATTTGGAAAATACAGAAGTGGGGAAAATGGAAAAGCGAGATCACACGTCACCTACTGTTCAGTTAAGTTCTTAGGTTATTTACTTACTCGCTATCACCTTTGGATGTAAAGTCTGAAAAATTGGGATTTAACTGTAGGTACAGATTTATATCTGCTTCTCGCTACATCCCTAAATAATCTTCAGAAACGTGACCTTCGTGGCTGCGTACCGTGTTACCATTGTTGGCCTCTGTGGTTGGATATTTATTTTAGATTGTTTTCCACTTTTCACAATCGCACATTCTATCGTACCGAGAATTCTCGTTTGTACGATGTGACCGGTATGTCAGGTTGCTTTCCCCGTATGCGTTTTTGGCTCCAGAGTGATTGGGTCACTTTACGGAGCAGGTTTGTGCATCTAGAGGCCGGGGTGGCTGCGTGGAAACTGTGACAGATGGCTTCTGGATGGGCTGGTGTGAAAAAGCGGAAGTAAGGACTATGACGTTAAGAGCTACCTGTCGATTCACACCTGGACCCCGAGAGTGCGTGCGATGCACGTCGGCCTTGAGCGCTCCCGCGCCTTTGAGAGTTCCGACGTCCTGTAGTGGCGCCGCTGAGTCATGATAGCTGTGTATCAAAGGACTACCGTATAGGGCGTCACTTTACCTAAAGAGTCAGCACAGGATTAGTCCCACGTTGACCAGTCGCCCTTCCCTGGGGCGAGGAAGGACACACTAGCATCTCGGCCTGGATGTGCGTCTCGTGCGATTTTGTTTTTCCGATTACGTTCTCTTTTGTTTGTGAAATAATGCTTTTTGTGCCCCCCAACATTTATGACTCGTTATTCATGGCTCTCAGAACAGTCCCTGGAACGCCAGCCTCCAGGGGAATGTGGGGTGGGTGTCCCCGCCTCCTGCTTCCCGGGTCCCAGTTACAGCAGTGGCTGTCGGCCTTTCCCATCTGGGTCGTCAACCCCGAGGCGCCTTCTGATCCCTTCCCATTGGGCCCAAGCTTCCTGTCCCCCCATGACTTTGTGCCACTCTCCATGTTCCTCTAAAGGGACACAGTTTCCCTACCGTGACATCCAGGGCCACCTGCCCCCTCAGCTGGGGTGGCGTCTGGCTTCCCGAGCACCCTGGCTTCTGCCCGTCAGCTCCACCTCCGACCGCTGTGGCGCTCGAGGTCCCCGTGCTGGCCGGTGGGGACTGAGCGGTCTCTCGGGAGGCCCCGTGCAAGGCCCGCGCTCTGGTTTTGGAAACTGACATCTTCGTTGTTTTCTAGAAAAGCAGAAGCCGAGGAGAGGCCGGCGGGAGCGGAGGGACGCCATCCGGCTCACCAGCGAGCGCACAGTGGAGACGCTGGTGGTGGCCGACGCCGACATGGTGCAGTACCACGGCGCCGAGGCCGCCCAGAGGTTCATCCTCACCGTCATGAACATGGTGAGTCCGGAAGCGCGGCCCGACCCACGTGGGCTGTGGGCTCCGGGCTGAGGGCTCTGGACACGGGCGCTACGTCCTCCCTCGTCTTCTCCCCGGTCAAGGAAGAAACTGGGTCGGGGGTGGAGACGCACACGGCCTGTGACCCCTGGGCAGCGAGGAGGGCAGGGGCTGGCGGGTGTCGCCCTGGCAGAGGGCCTGCCTGCCGCCCCGCCTCGGCGCCCTGTTTCAGGCCTGGGTTTGCTCCGTGAGTGGGGCTGCCCGCCACCCCTTACTGGCACCTTCCACGACCCCTACCGTGTGCAGGAACCTCTCCTGGGGGACTCAGAGCTGAGTGAGCCCGTCTGTGCTCTCAGGAGTCAAGATCGAACTCCCACGTGCCTTGTGCAGCGAGGCCACACCAGAAGTGGGGACAGAGGCCCTGGGGGGCGGGGATCTCAGGGAGGGGACCGTGTCTACCTATGATTCAATGGACGGGGAGAGAGGGGAACCTTCACAGGACAGGTGGCTCGGGGAGGGGCTGCGATCCTCAGATTTCAGACACGGGAAGATCTTTGAACGCATTCCACCTCCGCCATCCATCCACCCTCCGAACCACTTCTGAGGACCTGCTGGCATTGTCACCTGCTGGGCAGTGGAGCAGGAGGAAGCAGACCTGGTCCTGCCCTGGGAGGGCGGGGCTACGGCAGGCCAGTGAGCATCCTACTAAGTAGCTGCAGGGGCCACCGGGCCCAGGCTGGGGCTGGCAAGTGGCCACCGACAGCACAGAGGCGTCAAGAAAGAGTTGGTCCCTGAGCTGAGTGTGAGAAAGTACTTGCCAGGATGGGGAGGGGCGGCGGGTCACACAGGGGATGCAGCCGGAGCTGCATGGGGGGGGTGCGCCCCGGCGTGATGTCGCTGCAGCAAGAGGCAGAGGCGCCTTGAGAGTGTGGTGAACTCATGACCGCGGCGGCTTTGGCAGGGCGGGTGAGACCCCCGAGGAGCGGGGCCACTGCAGGCAGAGACGAGGCCAGGAGGGGCGCTGGGGGTGGAGTGGGCGCGGGGACAGGGTCTGCCCCGAGGGGCAGCAGTGAGGGCGGACGGGGTGGTCGTGTGGAGAGGAGGGACACACAGGAGTCGGTGACCAGCAGGGTGCGGGGCTTGGAGCGGCAGGCAGGGAAGGAAGGGGGAGCGGACGCCAGGCTGCAAGGCCAGAGGGCCTGGGCGGGCGGCGGAGCCACTGGCGGGGAAGGAGGAGCAGTGCATTCTGGGCTATGGGAGGTGTTCCATTCCGGACAAGCTGGATTCGAGTTCCCAGTGGGAGATCAGCATGGAGTCCCGGCTGCAAATAAGGACCAGGAGCTGCAGTTGCGACGGTGGCCCGCCTCGTCCGCGTGGAGCACATGGGGCGAGTGGAGAAGCTGGCCACACAGGCCCGGGTGGCACAGGGCGGGAGCCGGCCGGGGGACCCACAGACTGGGAGGTGGGCGTCCGTAAGCACAGACCAGGGCTGCAGAAAGGGGCTGGTTGACAATGCCAGAGGCTGGGTCTCTGGCGGAATGGCTTTAGGGGTTGCTGGGGTGAAAAGGGAGAGACAGCGGCCGAGAGGAGGAAGAGCCTCGACTGGGGAGTCCGGGTGAAGGACAACCGGAGATCAGGGGGTCCCCAAGCCCTGGGCCACGGACTGGTACCAGGCCACACAGCAGGAGGTGCAAGAGCAGGGGGGCAGGGGTCAGTGCCAGGGTCACACAGGAAGCCACTGGCAGGTCGAGCCTCTCCCTAACTGGCCACAGAAAAATAAATGCTCGCGAACCCCACCCCCGGGCTAACGGGCATGCACCCCACGGCTATCCCGAGTGCTGTAAAGACAAGACTCGGATACCCGTGTTCGTCAGGGGGCCTTTGGGGACAGATCTATCTGGCACGTTCCGTCTGGCTCGTTTGCGCGGAATGGAGACGCCTTCTGCCTGAGGCTGAGGCGGCTCTGCCTGAGGCTGAGGCAGCTCTGGTGGCGCCTGGAGGGCAGCGTCGTCGCGGCGAGTTACCGTGGGGACTGGCAGACGTCCTCACCGGATGGGCTCTTCTGCAGGGCACCCGGCACTGTGGCTCCCCACGCGGCCCTCGGCCAGCGATCTGTCGTCAAGACGTGGCCTTTGCGGCACCTAGTCACCGTCCCCTTCAAAGCGGGGAAGTCTGGGAGTCGCATTCATTTCCTCTCCCCTCCCTCCTTCCCTCCCTCTCTTCTTTTATCTTTTTAAACTTTTCTCAGATTTCTTCTTTTTTTTTAAGAAAGTGTGGTAAAAAACACATTTACCGACAACCGTTTTCAAGTGTACAGTTTGGTCGCATTAAGGACATTTACGTTGTGTCGCCATCGCCACCAGGCATCTCCAGAACTTTCTTCATCTTGCAAAAGTGAAACTCTGGACGCAGTCAACGCTCACCCTTCCGTCCCCTCCCCCCGCCCCCCCGGCCACCAGCATTGTCCTTCTTGTCGCTATGAATCTGCCTGTTCTAGGTACCTCATACGGGTGGCGTCACGCAGTGTTTGTCCTTGTGACTGGCCCCTTTCCCTCCGCACGATGTCCTCAAGGTTCGGCCATGTGTAGCGTGTGTCAGAATGTCCTTCCTTTTGAAGGGTGAAGAATATTCCGCGTAGGTACAGACCGCATCTCGGTTATTCATTCGTCCATCCTTAGACACTGGGCTGCTCCCTCGTTTGGGCTGTTAATGCCGCTGGCTGCTCGAGTCCCTGCTTTCGATTTTTGTGGGTGCCCCCCCCCCCCGCAGTGGAATCACTTTCGTTAACTTTTAACGGCGCTTGGCCTGGTTTCTGACGAGCACGTCTGTGCGCTTCCTTTGTGTAAACCCAGGTGGCTGGATGACGATGGGTCGCAGTGCCCCAGCCTGCCCAGCGGACACCTGTGGGGAGGCCTGGGTGGGGGCGGGGGCGCGGTGCTGGCTGTGCACCAGGTTCTTTCATCTGTGGATAATTTCACCTCATTTATTTTTTTTAAAAATTGTCCAGGGCACAAGTACAAGCAGCTAAAGTGGTAATAAGGCAAAGCTCCTGCTTTGATGTTTCGTGTGTAATTTATCACTCGGGCTGGGGCCGGGGGTGGACGGGCAGACGTGGGAGCATTGCCCTCCCCGCCATCCAGGGTCTGTCAAGGCTGGAGGACGGGCACGGAGTGGTGGCCACCTTCATTCCAACGTGTCTCCATCTCCAGGCTGCAGGAGGTGACACTGTCGGGTGCCACCTAGGTTTTAATCCACCCCTGCTCGCCCCTCTTAGCTCAACTACCGAGACGTTGGAGGCTCCAGATCCTGCTGCTGATGGCAGATCCGGGGCCCAGTGGGTCGAACCAGGACGTAGGTGTTTCCCGCGAGGCCTCCCCCTTGAGGGTGGCGCCCCCGATGTCTGTCCCCGGCTTTCTTGGCCAAGACGCGCCACAAAGCGGATGACAGAGAGCAGAGCACCCTGAGCCGCTGGCTGATATCAAAAGCAGCTGCTTCTGTGTCCCTCCTTGTGGGTCACCGTTCAGCAAATTTAAAAACAAGTTCCGTTCAGACCTTACCAAGACCGCTCTCCGTCACAAACTTCAGCCCCTCGGCTTCTAGTTCTGAAGATCTAGAGGATTCTATCCTGCCCGTGGCCGTTTCAGAAAAGTGATTCCTGTCAGTAGGTAAGATGCCTCCCAGGCCGGGAGGACGGGACAGGATTACGGGGCGTCTTCTCAGTGGACGAGGCCCCCCAGATGCAGCGAGCAGGGAGGAGAGCCCGCCAGCCCGGCCATCCGGCTCAGCAGGTTTGCTGCGGCCCTCCAGGACGGAACTGGCTCCGTCCCCTTAGCTCCCTGGATTTGGAAGGAAATCGGCAGGGGTGGTGGCCACCTGGCCACCTTGATTCCAACACATTTCTCTCCAGGCTGCAGGAAGTAGCGTCACCCCCTCTCCTCCCTCCCACTTGCGTCTCTGTGGGCAGAAGCCCGGTCACCTCCGGGTGCCGCCCTGACCCCCGAGGCTAAACTTAGGTCCCTGTCCCCACGGCAAGCCGAGTGCCTCATAGGGCCTTGCTGTGTGACATGCCCAGAGCTGAGAGAATTTGGTGTCAAGTGTTTGCTCACGGTTTTCATAGCATCCCATGGTTGTGATGTATTAGTTTAGTGTCAGTCACTGACGGCCTGTGTTTGAGGGGAGGGAGGGAAGGAAGGAAGGAAAGAAGGAAGGAAGTGAATGCCTGTGATGAACCCACCGGTCCCGATGACAATGGCGATTTCACGTCGCTTCCTCTTCAGACCTGGCGGATGTCGTCATTTGTGTTTCACAGAGGGGAAAATGGAAGCTTGGGAGGAATGACAGGAGACGAGGGTGCAGAGCCAGTGAGGACACGGCAGGGAGAGGACGCAAACCCAGGGCTGAGGGACCCTTGTCTCACCTTGTTCAAGGTGACAGACAAGTCTGGAGCTTGTCATTTATCTCCACCCCCAGTGCGCACTGACCGCCATTGTTTCCGGCCTTCACGACCACAGCAGCTGCTTTGCTGGGCTGGTCACTTCCATTTTCTTCCCCTGGAATCCTTGCTGCTGAACGGCCAGCGACGTCCTCACGCAGCACTGTGAGGACTTTGTCCCTGAGAGGCGCTGCGCCTGTTTGTGTCTTCCCTTGCATTTGATACGGAATCTGCTCTTTTTTGCATGGCCCTCTGAAGCCATGTGACTGGGGCCACCTGCTTCCCCTGAGCTTCGTTCCCTTCACCCCATCAGCACTGACTCCTGCCATCTGGACCACCATTTCCCAGGCTCCCCGAGTTCTTCTCAGACTCATAGTGTCTTCAAGAATGCGCCTCTCCCCACTTTTTACAAAGCCGGCTCCTCTGTTTTATAAACCTCCACGTAAATATCCTCGTGGAGGGGACCCTCCTCCCTGCCCTCTCTGAAAAGGCCGACTCGATTTCTTCATCATCGCAGTCTGCTTTCTGCTCGTGGGTTCTCATCCTGATTTATTTGTTTGCTTTTTAAAAA